AAATCAAAAAATCAACTTTTATCATTATTAATAATAATAATAATAATAATAATAATAATAATAATAATAATAATAATAATAATAATAATAATAATAATAATAATAATAGTGATTTAACCATTAATAATAGCTCATATCAAATCTTCGTAATGGAATTGTTAATTCTATTTAAGTCTTTAAAGAGAATTTAAATATAGAATTTGCAAATATTTATTTATTACATAATGAATATCATTAAACTAAAAAACTTATGTATTTTCACAAATACAATAATGGATACACATTCATTAAAATCAATAATTTAATGATATCTAATAATTATGCTACATCCATTTAATCAGATTTTAATTTGAAAACCTAAAACCTTGCTTCAATTTTACTTTAATCAGATGTTGTTAATATAACAAACTTAAATATCTTAAGAGGATATGGATTGAAAAATATTATCATATAAAATCCAAAAGTATTAAGGATAGAATCTAGTATAATTACTTAAAGTGATGAACATAAATTCCTTGTCTTCATTAATATCTTGATTACCAATTATAACAAGTCTAAGGTGAGTACTATTTATAATGGCTCTTTATAACTTCTGTGATTGATTTTGAGAGGGTTGATATGCGAATAAGAATGTTTAATCTTATAATTCTCTAGTTATATGCTATAAATCATCTGATATTAAAACAAAATATTAACTAAAAAAAATCGTTTAATTAATTTTATTTTGGAATCGAATTAATTACTTCTAACAAATTAACAATTTTAAACCGGAATAATTTTTGTGGATTCAATTCAATAGACAACTTTTGAAATTTAAAATGTTACATTTTAAAATAATATTTTTCATGAATGCTTTTAAACAATCTTTAAATATCCTCAAAACTATTAACTTCAATTGTATTTTAGGCTTCTTTACTATAACCAACAACATAGATAATATCATATATATTAAAAGTCAATAATTAATAATATTAAACAGTTCTTTTTATTAAAATTGTTAGTTTAATTATCAAAATATCCAACCCTTTTTATTATGGTGGTTTGTAGAATGTGAATATTTATGATCAAATTAAAATAATAATAAACTAGGTTTATTAATAGATAAACAGTATTTTTGAAGTAAAACCTAAAGCAAGAGTTGGTTTATTTTTAGTGGAGAATTTGGAAATAAAGTTTTGTAATCAATAGGTTTTTAAGGAGGAGTAATATATATTGAAGCTTAAAGAAATAGTAGAATTTCAATTTCCCAGTTTTAGTTCAAGAATATTTCTACTTTATTTTGTAAATACTTAGGATATGTGGATCTATTTATTTAGATGGAAATAAAGCAGAAACTCTCGAGTTTTCATTCTCTTAATTGATTATTATATATTAGTGTTAAGGAAGATGGAGGATGCATTAAGATAAAATCAAATTCTCCTATTATTTCTAAATCAATTTATCAATTGGATATTAAAAATATCTTATTCTAAACTTGGATCTTTCATATATGTTGTACTTTCTTATGTGGCTTCAAAATAGCAAATAATCAAATTAGATTCCATTTTTATTCAAAATACTTTAGAGGGATTTAAGAATTATTTAAATTAATATACCCAACTATCAAACTAAGATTTATTAGCTTTAATTAACAATAGAGCCTTATTTTATTTCAATTATTATGAGAAATGCTTAAAAAGTTTCTATTGAGAACTTTAAAGTTACAAATATCCTTATAAATGATTGTCTACCAAGATTGTATCCAAATTAATGTATATATTAATATTGATTTATTTTTAGATGGATCTAACAAAAATTTAAATAAATAATCTAGAAGTTTAGATTATTTCAATAGTTTTAAAACTGAAGAATTATCATTGTGAATAATCAACTTTAATAGATTAAAACATATATTTTAATGCATTTCTAATGATTAAAACAAGACTGCACCCTAAAAATTGGTAGAACTCTTATGGAGATTGTATTATATCTTAAATTTAAGAATAAAATCAATAAGAAAATAATTTAGTTGTTGATATACAAAATTCTGAATTGATCTTATTCTTAGATCTTACAGATTTAACTTAACTTAAATTAAACAACCTTATTTCTTCATAAATAAATTGCAAATTTAGTTTAAATGGGTCCATATATTATTCTTTTATGAGGTTGAGGATAATTTATTAAAATAATAGATTTTTAGTCTTAAAATTACTAATTCTCAATGTGGATTATATTTAAATCAGAAAAATAAAATAGTACTGATAGAAGATTGTTAACACAAACAGAAGTGAATATTTATTAAAGGAACTTAGAAGTGTTTATAGACAATTATATTTGTCAATATAATATTGCTAATAATGGAACCTGTTTATTTATAGAGAATGCTAAAGTTTTGATATATAATTCTATTTTTTAATATAATAAAGCATCTGAAACTGGAGGTGCCATATTTGTAAATAATAAGAAAGATATCCTGATTACAAGTAGTGTGATATCTCTTAATTCAGCCTTTATAGGAGGAGGAATATATTTAATTAATTAATAAGATTTGGATTATGTTAATCTAAATACAATTGTGAATAATAACTAAGCTTAGATTTTTGGATAGAATATACTATCTGTTCCTCAAAAGTTGACTATTACCTTATAATATGAAAGTTCTAAATTAAGCGCAAAATCAATAATAATATCTTAAGATCTAAGTATTTTCCTTATAACACTAATCCTTAATAAGCTGATTCTAATGAAGGAATTAATTAATTAGCCTGCTGCTTTGACAGAGCAACAAATTCTTCTTCTTATATTTAATTCATAAAATAAATTTAATATAAATCATCAAAAATTAAAACAAATGAAAAAGGAGAGTAAAGGTTCAATAAAAATTTCATTTTTGCAGAGACGTCTATAATCTTTTAGTTCAAAAATTTATCATAACAAAATCAATTATTTTTATACCAATAAATATTATCTTTTAATGGATGACGATTCTGACTCTGATTATTCACCAAAGAAAAATTAAATAAAAAAGCAAAAAGCATTGAAATGTAAATAGAAATTTTTTATAAAGATCATCAAATTGAGAAACGATAAATTGTATATGAATGTCAGCCATTATTAACTAAACAATAAGGAAATGTAAATTAATGATAGAGGCTTTACCTTTAAGTTATTGTAAGGACTTTCTTTAAAATATCATTTCCTTAAGAGAAAATTAAAAATCACTCTAATTTGTAAAAAAGGCTCAACATAAGTCATTTAAAAAGAAATTTAAAAGATATCCTAAATTAACTTAATTTTAGAGAAAATAAATTAATTACTTCAGACATCTGGATATAAAAATTGCATTATTGCTGCATTATTGGGAGTATCAACCCAATAGGTTTAATCGAATAAATTCATAATGCAGATGGCTTCCTAAAAAGAAGAAATAAGGTTCACAAATACTGAAATAAATTGGCTTAAATTATAAGCATAGAAAGAATCAAACTCTTGCTTATTTAATGCTGCTTCCTTCAGAAAAGCATTTATTAACTGATTCCCATAATAAAATGTCAGTGTTCATTAGTTTCGAAAACTTCTGCATTAATGTTAAATAAGATATCGAACTCCCTCTTTAAAACCTTTATCATTTTTCTAAAAAGATGGCAAAAATGAAGAAACCCAATAATTCATTTCAAATTTGTGTGGATATCTTAATGAAAATTACAAAATAATCTTTATTGATGAATGTTTACTTGGGAATATATCAAAATGCAGCCATAAATAATGGCATGTTTAAGGTTCATTTAAACAAACTACCCATAGAATATCATGTTTCAAATATATGATAGGAGCTCTAGGATTTAATAATTTCTTATATTTTCAATTATTTGAAGGAACAGGGAAAGCATACATATTACAAGATTTTGCTACATCAATTTTTTATAGAGCTTAAGAGTTTTATCAATATTAAAAATTTGCTTTTGTAATGGATAACTGTAGTATCCATAAATCCTGTTAAATGAAATTAATCTTTGATAAAATACCTTGTATTTTCACGCCAGCTTATCGTCCTGAATTCAATGCAATAGAGCTTATGTTTGGTTGGATCAAAAGGAAGTTAGTAATTGCATAACCCAGTCTAACTACTCAATATATTTATTAAATTCATAGAATTATTAATGAAATTGATGAGAAAATGATAGATGGATGGTGTTATAGCATTTTAAAACCTATGCTCAATGAAATTGCTTTTATATATTTCGTTAACTGTAAAAAAAGCCTCTTTGAAAATGCAATCCTAGCAAATTTTTTATTTTACCATTCTCCTTCTTATTTAGCTTTACAATATGGCAAATATTAATAGCACTCCTAATAGTTAAATAAAGTAATTGATGCATTTTAGCAAGTTTCGGTATAAAATTTATATCAATCAAAAAAAGGATTACAATCAATATCAAATCTATCGCCATCAGTACTATCAACATCCTCATAAGCATTTGTTAAAATGCATTATATGACAACCTACTTTTGACAAGTAGAAAGGAAACAATAAACTTTTTATGTAATTAGGCAAGTGAAGGTTCATTCCCACAACAAGTATTTTGTCTTTATCCCATAAGTAATAAATACCATTATTAATATGTATATTTCATGTATTACATCCCATCTATTTGAATTTGTATTTAAAATATATATATCATTAAAATACTATTGAAAATTATGTGCTGTGTATAAAATTTAATTGTGCAATGTTAACATTCCTTGATTGTAAAGTAAAATATGGATAACTATCAATAAAATTATTTTATATCATTATCCATTCGCTTTATAATTTATACTAATCTTACATTATTCTTAATTTAAATAGTTACATCAATCATCTAATTATTGGTATCCATTTAAAATTAAAATTACTATAGAAGATTTTAATCGTTAATTATTGTATAAAAAGCTTCTAAATTTTAAAATTTAACAATTGTTCTAATAAATCTTAATAGTAGCATTCATTTCCAAATTTATCTTTAAATCATTAGGTTTGTTTTGCAAAAGAACGAGAAAACGGAAGGTCAACAAATTGAATTAAATCAACTTTAACAGTGCAGCTGTTATTTAAATAAAAAAATTCACATTCTGAATGATTGTAAAATACAATCTTCAAAAAATGAATAATTTTTACTATTCCATTAATAATTAATATGCCAATAGTTGCAGTTTTTTTGGTAATACTGAGGCTGTAGGTTTATTCTAGCACATTTTCTCTAAACATTCAGTATTATTGATTTTGTTATTATAATATTACATAAATTTATATTTATTTTTTAGTAATTCCATCTCAAAAGTAAAGTATTGCTAAAGAATTCTTTTTATATAAGCAAAAAGTGCTAAGGGAGTAATCAACCAAAGTTGATTGCTCAAAATTAATAAGATTTAAACTTATCTATTAGATCAAAGGACTTGCACATCCTAATGCAATTATCTGTAAAAATATCACACTCTCAATTTTTGTTAAAGATATGCAATTAAGTAGTTGGTATCCTTGACTTGCTGCTGACATATAATGTGGACACCAAAGAACACATGGAAAATTATCATTAATAATATTTAAAAGTTATGAAGCTTAAAAGATATTTAAACAAAATGTTCAATTAAGCCATCAATTCTATTTACACAAGTATCTTAATATTTGTATTCCGAACATGATTATTGTTGATAGTGCATTGTGAAATTAATGAAAATTACATTTTTTGCATGATACTTATATCTTTGTAACCTTTTAGCAATTTAGATTAAATTATACTATCATGAATACTGTAGGGAACAATAATTTGATATTGATTTCAATAATGCTTTAACCAAAGTTTTTTTATTAGAGCATAGGGTTATATTGTTTGTATACCAATTTTGCTAATATTTGCTATTCATAACCCTAATTAGTCTTAAAATCAAATTATATTATATATTTATTACAAAATTTGCTGTGGCACAAAGACATTTAAAATTTACAATTAGATCCATTAATAATTTTTGCTTAATTATAATTAATTTTGTTTTTAATATGACTGCAATCCATAAAAGAGCTACTTTTACATTTTTTGTAATTTAATCTGCAATTTAAGGGATTTATTAGTAAGCATTGATGATTCGTAATAACAGTTGTGTTAAGTTGAAAATCAACATATTTAACGCATTTACATAACAATTAGTTACATTTATTAAATTTATAATAATAATTACAATCATAATTCCAATCATAACAACTTTATCTAAATTTAAACTAATTTAATGCTCATATTTTTCTATTTCCACAAGTTGAATTTGTAAAACTAAATCCCCATCTTTGTAATAAAGATTTTAACTGAATTATAGATGAATTAGCACAATGATCCTAACATTACACAATGTTGCAAGAAGTTAATAGGACACAGAAATCATAATTTGTATCATAAATATAAGTTGGTGAATAGTCTTAAAATTACTTTTTATTCTATGAAAGTTTCGTAGACGAATAAAAGTTTAAATTCTTGTGTGATTTTTATCCAATGCATTAGTATTTATAAATACCAGAACAAGATCATTTAAACTAACATAATTATCCTAATCTTTTTTTTAGCTATCACAAGTACTTAGGGATAAAAGTTTGTCTGAAATATATATCAGGTCAAAATTTGTCAAATAGTATTTTCTTAATTAATTTACATGAAAGCACTTTTATAAGCTAAATTTGATGACCAATCTAAACAAGATTAAGAAATAACATCCTAATCCACTTGATTATAGTATACACTATATATTATATAATTGAAAACTTCATTACTGTTACAATCAGTAATAAACACTAGTTGTATTTTCTAAACTTTAAAGATTCAGCCTCAGTTTTAGCAGTAGTATTTTCATTACAAAATACAACTTTACATAATTATTTTTAAATATCCCATTTAAAAGGTTACTGTTCCATATTATTTAACACTGTTATTTATATTGATAATCACATATGTATGAAAGATTTACACAAAATCTATTAATATGATTTAATGACAATCTTAGTAAGATAATAATAATAATAATAATAATAATAATAATAATAATAATAAATTATATAAAGTAATTCCTTGTTCTGAATAATAATAAGAAATGTAAGAATTTTTACATTTAAGTTTCGATAATTTTTTTATTTATTAAATTTTATTGAATTAATTCACATTTATATGACATTTACATTTCTCATTCATTCATAATAAAAATGTTTTGAATAAGTTGATGGGGATTATAACCTATTCAAACTATTTGCTGATCGAAATAATAGAATGAATTGTGAATTTTATATGAATAAATAATAGAAGTAAATATAATTTCTTATGGAAAGGAAGATATATCAAAAATATATTCCCGAGGTGCAATGATAAGTATAGAAACTTTAGCCAAGGATTAGATATTATTAGCAGATAAATAGAAAAAATGGATCGATTAGATTAATTTTTGATAATAAATCTTTTTCATCTTTATTAAAATCCTTTACTTATAATTGAGAGACAATGCTAAATTCAATATTTATAAAAATCGAAACACTTTTATAGAAAATTGATTGATATTATATATTTTTTATTTTATTCATCATTCCTCATAAAGCACTTTTGGAAACTAAAAATTAGTGAGTAAATGAATACCTGATAACCATTCAAACAAGGCTATGAAGAAGTGAACTCTTATAATACTCCTGCAAAATAGTTCGGGCCTTTGAATTTAACAATAATACCAGGACCCATAAGGATTGATTTTATTTCAAAAGGAATTTAGTTTTGCAATTTTGATTGCTCACCTTAACATATTTAAAATAATGTTCCAGTGTAATTACATTCACTATAAAAATTAACACAAGGGATAGCGAGTCTTAAAATAAAGTCTCTAAATCCCCAGGATTCTAGAAATTATTTAATTTATACCATCCCAAAGATCTTCATACCAAGAATTAGAGTTTAAATTATCTTTTAACTTTATTGTTAAATCATTGCCGGTTATTTAAAATTTTAATGTTAGAGGTTAAAGTAAATCTTACCAAATATCACTCCTGCATATCATTTCACCTTCATTTAAAGACAATATTAAATTTTCTATTTTCACCTCATTTGCATATATCTCAAATCCTTCTGAATCCCAAGAGTCTAATTTCCAAATACCAACTTATAATTCAATTAAATTATTAGGGGGAACATTTGTAAATGTCTTGATCACTACTGTTTAAAATCCATAAGGCCCCATTAATAAGTTTTTAGGTTGAGATCCACACCTTTCTAAGGTTGCATTACTTGTTCCAAAAATTTAGAAATCAGTATATCTACAATCAGCTGTATTATCTGTTAAACAATTTTCGTAAATTACTGATTTAAAAAATAGGATTTTTAGAAATGAAATCATGTGTGACATTATAATTAATATTAAATCTAATTATTTTCCATATAAATGATTAAAAACCTCACTTAGTTATACTAAAAATACTGATTAAGTAAACAAACTTACTCTTAGCCTTAATAAAGCTTTTATAAAGTAATTTGAATTTAAAATTTGAACAATAATTACCATTAATCTTACATTAATATTTAAAGAAAAAATTAATATTATATCTTTTGTTTATTTTGAATATTTTCTGGTGATTATATTAGATTTGAATTTAAAAAAATGAATATTATTTTTTAAATGTATTTTTAAGTGAATATTTAATTTTTTTCAAGTACATTCCTATTTTACAAAGTTAAAAAATAATTTTTTGCTTAATTCATTCTTTAAAGAAAGCAAATAAACTTATTTGCCGGACTATCATTCTTTTTTGTTAATTATTTATTTTACAATTTGAAAGCTGAACTTCTTATTTCTAAGTTTCTCTCTTTCTCCCCACATGCCCTCTACTTCTAGTTAGATCCTTAATCATAAAATTGATCTAAACTTAATTAACTCATCGTTAATTTTACATCTACTTATCTTTTGCCTTTCTAAAATTCAAATTTAAATTTAACTGTTTTTTTTGCAAATTTTTTTAATTTAAATCTCACTGTTTAATCCACAAACTCTTTTTTTTTGTATTATTTTACATAATATATAATCAGGTTTAAAAAGGACTATACAATATATTATAAAAATTTTTAAGAAAATTAAGTTAATAATTAATTAGCCTCATTAATGATAACTAAAATAATTTATTTAAAATTTTATCCAAATAGGTCTTTTGGATTCTTAGGCTTCAATAGTTGTAAACCCCTTTCTTGTTAACAATAAAATTTCTGTTTACTATTACAATGAAAAAAAAAAAATTTTATTCCTTTCGTTTACAAATTTATGATTCAACCAGGAGTAAGAGGCTATATTAAAAATTTATATCAATAACATCATATTTAATCAGTTGGAAACATATTGATTATAAACTTATTTATCATTGCTAAAACAATATATGTTATTCGTAAATATCAATCACTAGAATAAATCATAGATTCTAAGTCTGATTATTTCAAGTAATAATCTGATTAATTGTGTGGAAAGTCAATGAAAAATATTAGCTTATTTAGAATAATTTAAGATAATAAATTATTAAAAAGAATTAAATTTGCATTTATAATTAATAATTTAATAATAGAAATGGAATAATCAAATATGAAAATATGCTCAAAACATAAATTAGAAATTGTTTTGGTTGACCTTGAAGCAAATGTAGCTTAAGAGGATAGATATTTATGTGTTAGATGTATTATTGAAAGAATGAATAAGAAGAAAATTAATATGATTGACGAAGCTAAGAATTTGATTAAAGAAATGAAAATGACTGAATAAAATTAAAAAATTGAAGACAATAAAAAGAGATTAGATAATTTCAAAATAGTTGGATAATTATTAAGAGATCTTAAGTAGAATATAGACTCGATTTTTGATAAAATATTCAATAATATTCAATCTAAATTAAGTTAGATTTAGAGTGATATAGAAAATATAGAATCATAAACTATCATATTCAATTTTGAAGATGACATTGAAAGATTATCCCAATTTTAAGAATAATAAATTCATTCATAATCTATTCAAGCAATAGAAGGTGATCATAAATTTATTGAATAAATCTAAAAATAATTATCATCATTCATAAATTCTCAATAATATAATAAATTAATGAATGACTAAATTATTTTTGTTAATGAAAATGTAGCCTAGGATTTATAAACAAATGAATAACCTAATGAAATGATAAAAGCATAAGATTATGTAATATAATTATATTTCATATTAGAAAACACCAGCTTTGAAACTTATATGCGAAGAACACACAAAAGAAATCATAATGTTTAATTTGAATGTAAACTCTAACCAATTAACCAATTACCAAAGATGGCCTGTGTAAAATGTATTTCATAATATCCTGCATCATACACTCCTTTAGAAGAGCTTATTAGCTAATGGGATTAATATCAAAAGAAAAATTAAGCTAATTGTAATAAAATCCAAAAAACTAGGAGTGTAATGTAATAAAAAATATTGAAAGTTATTTTAGATATCAAATTGTAAAATGATTAAATATTTGATGAACTAACATAATCTTTAATTAACTAATAATAATCAATAGAACATATGAATCAAAACTAGATTAATGGTAAATCATTGTATCAATTAACGTCTAATTAAATTAATGAAATACTTATTCAATTAAGTTAAATAGATAAATTTAAGTCACATAAAGATCAAAAAAGTAATCTAGAGAAAATTGATAAAATATTCTATTCAGACTTAAGATCCAGATTGGAGCATTTAATTTAATATTAATAAATAAATGCTTAAAGAATTAATTATTTGCTTATGAATGATAATAAAGTGATTCATGAAATTGATAATCTTTTAAAATCAACCTAGTAGGAAGATGTAGGTAATAAAGAAGAATCAGCTGATATATTATAAATTATAGAAAAAGCGAGATAAATTATGGAATAATCATTTAATTTTCAATTTTCATAAAATGTGTTTGATGAAAATATTGGTTAATATAAAAAGGCTAAAGAGGAAATTTAGAATTTAAGGTAGATTTTAAGCTTTAAAATAGAAAAATATTAAGGATTTCAATAAATATTCAATGAACTCAATAATTATTCAGAAAAAATTGATAAAGATTATCTTAAATTTTAATAATTTTTAGAATTTGATTAGATGTTTAATGTAATTAAGGAATTAAAAGAATAAATTTCATTATCCAATAATGAATAATTATTAATTAATCAAAAAAATGAATAATAGAAGTAATAATTAGAATTATTGAAATAAAATTAAATTAATATTAAAAAGAGATTTATGTTTTAACATCTTTAAGTATTTTATATTTCATATTATTTAGATGAGAAGATGAAAATAGAAATGGAACAATAAATCAAACTAAAAAATGAAGATAATAAAAAATTAAAAGAATAAATCGAATCCATTTAAAAAGGGAATTTAGAATAAAAAAGTTAATTTGAGAATGAACTAAGAATATTATACTAAACATATTAATAAATTAATCAAGAAAATTTAGAATTAAAGAATTAAATAAAAGTTAAAGATGATAATTTTAAAGAATTAAAAGCAAAAGTAACATATTATTGTCATATTAGTCATCATAATAATAAATGTAATTAACATTTTCATAAACAAATAAACATTCTACTTGCTAAGTGACATAAAATGGTAAGATGGTTCAAAATGGCAAATATTGTCTTTGTGATAAAGTTATCCCTAAAAATGGAGTTACATTATTTGCATTCAAGATGATTGAATTAAGTGACAGATGTTATATCGGTATTGGTATGAGAGAGATTATATAAAAAAATAATTATGAAGGAAATGTAACTTATGGCTAAGGGTAAAATTGTATGAATAAAATTAGATCATATACAATATGTTCTAATTAGTATTGTTATTCACACCATGAAAAAGATAAAGATGCGAAAAATTTATCATTTGATTTTACAGTAAATGATATAATAATGATTGAAGTTGACATTTAAAATAAATACATAAAATGGACTAAAAAAAAATATAATCAATCATTTGTAATTCAGATAATTATATATCATAATAGGCTCTTTCAATAGATACAACTTACGATTTATATCCATGTGTATGGGTGATGAGTGGAAGTATAATAGAAATATAAGACATATGAATATGATTAAAAATATAATATCTCTGATTAATTGAACATATATATATAAATAATTAAATTTATTACAATTATCTGAGTGAATGGAATAAAAAGTCCAAATGTATTTAAAATGATTAGAACAAAATGAAAATATAAAGCAAATTTTTTAGAGTGATATATTGTATTTAATATAATTTTTTTATAAAACTAAATATCTAATAACATATATATTCGTTTTATTTAGGTTATTGAATATTGTAGATTTTAGACATAATGAGATGTAATAGGCAATAATGAGCAGATTTTGGCAGAAACTAAAAGCCATTGTAAGGAAATGAATTATGATTACTATGATAAATCTGAAGTAATTAAATTAAGGATTTTAATATGAGGAGACAACTTTCAAATTTTTATATTGTATTTTAGCTCAATACTAGACATAATATATTCATTTGATCATTTTGACAATAAAATATTTTCTTATCATTTTTTACTTTCAATTGCATTTCCAAAATTCATTTAATGAGAAATAAATAAATTATTTACAGACCATGATTTTATATATTTTCTCTTTAGAAATATAATAAAAAAGCAAAGACCAGCAATTAAACTTGACATAAGGTCATTCACACCTAATTAAGTTTATCAAAAATTATGCTATTAAATTTTTGGATTTTAATTGATTTCTAGTACATTTAACAACTTTTCTTTATTGTAATGAAATAAGAAGAACCTAAGATTGATCCATATAATCAATAATAGTAACCACCTAATTTGATTTCATAATAATGTTTATGACTAAAGAATTAAACTAATTTTTTCAGATTTTTAATATGTAATGTTATTTTTTATCTAGTAATTATAGATCTTCGAGTATTGAGAATAAATCTATAAATAATTTATGATTTAATTAATTTTTTTCTCTTTAGTGATTAGTTTTTAATAATTGGTCTTTTACACCTAATATCATTGATTAAATAGATTTTCATCATATCATACAGTTATTCATAATATCATTCTTAAGATAATTCTATGTAATTATTTTTGTAATTTAATTATAATCTTATATTTCTTAATCACAATATTCTACCTAACTTAATTCACATAAATAAAAAAATATGGTTTTTTGCCATAAAATAATAATAATAAATAATAAAAATTCTAAAGGGACCCTAAATGTGGATGATCTAGAAAAAATATGGGAGAAGTATTTACCTTCAATAAATTTGGCAGGTGTTTTAAGTAGGATGATCAATAAATAGAGAGAGGTATAATAAAGAAGTCTCCTTTACTTTTTACACACTACTACATAAGACTTATTGTTTGTAAATATATGGGAGAAAGATATTGTGTATAAAATGCTAAATAATAACAATCCATGTAGGACTTTGAATGAATTAATTTTTATGATGAGACTGGTAAAATAAATAGGATGGAAACTTTGATCTACACTATAACTGATATTTGGCTAATTATGGTGCAGAAAAACTAGGTTAAAAATTATTAGAAGGGACTTTTATAGGTAATTTCAAAGAGAAAGTTCAGACAGAGGTTAATATCTAATAAGTTGGGCTTGTTTCAAAAATTGGAACACAAGTTCTGATCGAGATATTGATTAATAAACTCAAAACAAGATTACGAAACAAGAATTTTGTCTTATTTCATACATAGAATGCTTATCATTAAGTGAACAGTGAACTACTTTATAAGATTATACTATAGAGAGATGGAAAAAAATTAGATACTACTTTACATGCTTAACAACTTTGAAGTTTACAATCCAATTTAGAAAAGGAGTCTAAAAGTTAAGAATAGTGTTAAACCACTACTATTTGATATCAAATTCGAAAAAATTTAAAGAAAATCAAGTTGAATTAATTAAAAATTAAGGGTACATGCATTTAAAGTAGAAGAGACTTTGGATGAGTGTCAACTTGGAGTTGATTCTTGATGCAGATGATTTAGCTATTGTGGTGGAGAAGCAAGGAGGTTTTACAAACATTTATTGAAATTGCAAAGTAATTTAACCTGCTTTTAAATTTTTATAAGATTTTATACAATAAGAATAAAGATTTTATGTTCTAAACTTTAAAAGAGTGCAGAGATTTAAATATTTTTGAGTTAAAATTAATATACAAAAGTATATTTAAGAACATTTTAAGGATATTAAGAGTGATGTTATTAAGTAGTCTCAATAATTTTTTTATTGAGATGATTCTACTATCTTTTATGCTGTCTGGAACTTAAGTTTTAGTAAGATGCACTAATGGGAGATGATGAAAAGAAACTTTTATAGAAGGATTTTAGATGTTAATAAATGAATAGTGATTCTCGGGATGGTGGTTATTCGAAAAGATAAGGTAAGGAAGATTTAAAAATTTTTTGGATTAATTAGATTAAAGAGAATGAATCTTGATTTTCCCTTAAACGAGATAATATTTTTTTTCAATTTATGGACTTTTGATACCAATTTGTATATTTGACTCAAATGGTTTCAAAATTTTAGGGAGTATTGATCAGGTGAAACTAATTTAGAGTCTGTTATGCTTTGTTAGAATATTTATGATGATTTATAATATATCCAAAAAGTTCTATAAAATATAATTTGAAAATTCAAAATATATTATGAATATGAAAGACCATATGTTTGATTTTTTCCACTTTTCTTTTAGGCTTTTCATACTCTTTTAAATCTCTTATTAAATTTATTCCTACATAGCTGAATAATATCATTCCAATGCTTTGATCATATCTATTCATTTATCTAAGCAATATTTATTTATAATAAAGCTATCTCACTATATTCAAAGATTTCCTTAAAAATTTATTAATTACCATTATATTAAAAGCAAATCTCATTTACAATAGAGTTATTGCTTACATATAGCTTGAATTTTCAGATTCAATACCTTAACAAGCAAAATTAATTTGAAACAAAGTTATTTGTCAGAAAACAGTTTTTTACTTTAACATTTGTTATTGAAATATTTTTAATTTTCGAAGGTTTCCCTTCATTTTGAAATTCATTTTTTAATTTAATCTTTTACCTTATTTATATTCAAGTTCCATCTTGAATATATATTATTTATTTTACCCTTCTAATGTAAAATTTATTTATTTGTACATCTTATTGATGAATTAATTTTGTAAAATCTTATTCGTTAAATGAGGAAGCTTTATATTACTTATTTCAAAAACACCTAACATTTTTTGAAGTTCTTTTTACAAAATTACATCATCAATAGAATTGAATTGTTATTTAATAAAAAATATATTCTTGATTTATGTAATAATTGTTGAGTACTCTAATTTTGCTTCAGCAATAAATTCATTATATTTAAATGATATCCATTCTTCCACGTAACTTAATTAAAAGCTAAATGACCAAAAGTATAAATATGTTTATAGAACTTAAAAGGAACTTACTGACTAAACTCTCCACTTGATCTCATTTCTTCGAAAGATAGGTAGATGCCTCCTCCAAAACTGTACAAGAAATTTGGGCATATTGAATCTTTTAGAGTTCCTCTCAATATCAAGTCTTGACTGTAAGTTTGCATACTTGAACAACACTTTCATTCAAGGACTGAACTATTTTCATTAAAAATAATTTTTGTTATTTTCAATTTCATTATTAATCCATGTTTATTAGTCATTATGTCAATTTCCTAATTAATAAAATGAAACGACTACCATTTTTGAATGATTGTAGAAATCAAATGTTAACCAAGAAAACTATTTTCAAAATAGGATTAATTCATAACCTAAGCTAAAGCCTTCATAAGAATGCTATTGCAAATGTAAGAACTGATTTTGCTAGTTCATATGATGTTATTTCAATAAAAATAATTTTTTTGTCATTTGATAGGTATAACTTGTACAACATAAGACATTGCCACTAATTCTGTTAATTCTGCAGATAAGTAAAATCCTTATTTAGCTGGATGTCCATCATCTGATACTGTTAAATGCAAGAAAAACTTCTAGGAAGATTACTACTTGATTAAATATGCCCTATGTCACATAGAATGGAAAATATTGTGTCACTGAAGGAACTTTTTCGAAGCTTACATAAATTTAGGCTAGTTGTGCTGCCTTCTGTTGGATAATTTGAATGATTACTCAAAATTATTTTACAATAAGTTGCCTTACTGCTCCCTTAATATAGATGACTGAGAAGAATATGCCAATTATTTTACTAAATGTAATTGGTGCCATATGCATCTTCTAATGAAATGGCTTAATTTAAAATATTTAAATTTTATGTTCAGATCAAGAAAAAAATATATAAACAAACGAGGAATAATTAACAGATAATCAATAAACAATTAATTAAAATAATAATTCAGTAAGATAATAAATTTGATTTAAATTAAGAACCCAAAATAGATTAAAAAAGTCTTTTATTATCTACAAAAATTTTTGTTTGACATAAAGCCAATATAAGTTGCTTTAATTTTAAATAAATTCCTGAAACTCATTTATATGTAAATATATAATAAAAATAAAAGATATTTGATGAACTTTGCAAAAATATTTTTACTTAAAATTCAATTAATTCACTATTGTATATTTAATTTGTTTTTGCATGCAGCTTTATAATAACATTCAATTTACCTCTCCTACTTTTAGCCCATGAGTATTGAGGGTTGATTTCAATGGTAAATAATGGCTTCTTAATATTTTAATTATGAATCTACAGAATTAAAATGAATAAATTTGTTTAAACAGGCTCTTAAATATATAAGATATACTAAACCTTTGCTGGCTAAACATAATTCATGAGACGGATCATAATTCAATGCTTGATCTAAAATCTAAAGAGCTTCGTCGAATTTATTCAAAATTCTTAATGATTCACCTATATTATATATATAAAATTATCTTTAGTATAAAAAAAATTTGTATTATTTGAATCTATTAACAAAAATTTATCAGCCTATATAATTGCGCCTTTGTAATCCCCTGATAATCTTAAACTCTCAACTAAAAATTTATGTATCATTTATATACTTTTAGTATATAATCGATATGCATTGGATCTATTAACAAAGCTTTATCAGCTGATGCAATGGCGTTTTGGTAATCCCCTAATAATTTTAAACTATCAGCTAATATATTTATGGAGAATTTTTATACCTTTAGTATATAATGAATTGACATGATTTGAATCTATTTTCAAAGCTTTATCAGCAAAAATTATTGCACCATCATAATCTTTGCACCTTCTTAAACTTTCAGCTAATATTATTAAGTATGATTTTTATACCTTTAATATATAATGAATTTAGATGCTTTGGATTAATGAGCAATGAAAGATTTATAAATTTAATTGCTTCTTCGTAGTTATCCTCTTAAAATAATTTATATCCTTAATTAATAATTCTTTACCTTATTAATAATATTTTTCTACTTATTCTTAATTACTTTTATTTACTTAAGAATCATTTGATTACTCTATTTTATTAAAATTATATTGAGGGATTTCTTAATTTTAGAATGTTTCAAATTGGCTAATTAATCTATTTAATTAAATGATCATATCATCTGAACAATTCTTAATATCCTCTAAAAAAACTGTTTTAAATTCATTATATTTGATCACTTTATCTAAAGCTTCACTTAATTTCTTTGGATTCATTTCTAACAGTGCCGATTTAGAGAAGTGAAATTCTGCTCTCAATTTTTCAGTTAATTCAAGAAATAGCTCTATTATAGATTCTTGTAAGGACCATATTTTCTCTATTAATTTTTCACTTTCTTTCTTGATCTATTTAAAAATTTCAAAGAGTTAATCTAGATTCTTTGAATGTTTATGACATATAAAATGATCATAATTTTAAATGCATTGAAAACAATAAATTCTCATTGCTTTACATGATTAATTCAAGAAAGCGAATTGAACAAAATCATGTCCTTCACTAGAACATATTTTCCTATATTCTCTCATTATCTGACTCATATATTTTATTTATATTTTATATTCTATTAAATTATTTCGATTTAATTTATATAATCAATTAATTAGTATTGATCGAATAAATGAAAATGAAGTTCTTGATGTAAATGAAAAAAATTTTATTAAGTATTCTTATTAATCTTGTTATTATTTAGAAGGGAGTTGCTAAACAATTAAGTTCACATTTGCACTATGTTTTTCAAATTTACAACCTTAAGATTGCCTCATTTAATTCAGGTACATTGTTTAAACCATATGAATTCCTTAAAAATAAATTAAAACTATTTAGAATTATTTTGAACATCATATATTTATTCATGATAAATTTAAGATATAAAACAATTACAATATGCTTGGAGAAAATAATTTTTATACCATCATATTATACCTTAATCTACAATTTGACAAAATTTCAAACAAGCAATCAATAGATAAGTTAAACAACTTGGTCTTAAACATTTGGTTTGTATTTTTTAATATAATCAAGAATTATTAACTATTTTTATGAAGTTGCATTAATTAAAACATCCTTTGTCATAATCAATACTTGAAATAATTTCATTTATTATTAGGAATCTGATAACTATTCTTTATTATGTATGAGAATAATTATTATCAATGAATCTAAAATCAAACCATTATTTTTATTTAATATTATATTATATTGATTCATATTTTTAGACAATTAATTTTAGTGAATGAAAATAATAGCTATTTTTTCAAACTTTTCATTCATAAAAATATTCAACTTTCACATCTACTCTCTTAATTGATATTTGAACAATTTCAAATTCTTGCAAGAATATATTAGGGTATGTGTGTAGCATTTGTTGAAAAATATTAAAGTTCTATTTTTTAATTGCTAACAATGATTTAAGTAATACTAAACAAAGTTCAACATATAAAAATCCATTTCATAGGAATTAAAGATGCAGTCAAAATAAATGTAAAGAAATTTTTAATAAATTAGAGCTCTTTTTGACAGATTTCCCAAAAACTTATTAAACAAAAAATTAATGGAAATTATATAATTAATTTTAAGGATTTATGCAGTTCATTTGATATTCCTTCTAAATATTAGATCAGATATAAAGAATATGGATCTTTCATTCAAACTCTTTCCTAATTACAAATTTGCTCCTACATTAACATCAAATAAATTCCTAATTAGGAGGTTATATCAGAATTTAATCTTCCTCATTAATTCAAAATATTTTTAAAAGATAATTTTCTAATTTTAATTCAGTAACTAATGAAGATTCTATTTCGATTCCATTCCGCATTTTATGAACAGAAACCCTTTAGCAATTCATCTTTATGGTTTATCCATATAATTGAATGAATTAAATACAATATTTTTACTCATTATGACTAAAATTAAAATGATTATGTCACTATTAATAACTTCTCAATTTGAAATTTTAATTATTAGGAACTTAGAGTTTCTAGATCCAATATTCTGTATCACTAAAACTCTAGATATTTATGCCTTTTCATTAGTATCAATTTTAATTTAAAAGAAAATTTATATTATTTTGAATCCGTATTACACTCCAAGTGGAATGCCAAATATTAGAATTTTTTTCAAAATATTAAATTATTGAATCAAATTTATCTTTCAATTTTTTTTTGTTATTGTACATTTCAACCTATTTCAGTAATATCATTCTGTAAGGGATCTTTTAATAGGCATTCAGATTATTTTCAAGAAAGAATTATAATAAATATTTAAAATAAAGAATGCTTCATTAATTATGTAATTAAATCCAATTATATCAACTTATAAAAATATTTTTTTAGGAATTATTAAAAATGCTATCAATTCACACATTGATATTAATCTTCATAAGATTGTATAAAAAATTAAAAATTATTGGATATTGTATTATTTAACTACATTCTTAAATTCAAAGAATAAATAACTATTATTATTATTATTTTATTTATTAATTTTCTAATAATATTTAAATCCTATTTCACATAAAAAGAGTGGTTGAATAAATATAATAATTTTGAAATTAAAATCTAAATAATAAATCAGCAAAGTTTAAATTCAAAATCAATTATATAATCTATAAAATAACAATAAAATATATATTATTTGAATACTCATTAATTCAACTATTAAAAATTAGGAATAACCTTTAAGGTTTTAACTTTAAAGATTTTTCATAATAAATCATAACCTATTGATATCTCTATAAATCTTGTATATCAGTTAAAATATTATTGATTTAAGTTATAAAAAATTCAAAAAAAAATCGATTGAATAACTTTTGTAAAATGCAACCAAATTAATGCATCCTCGTATTTATCTAGCAACCTTATATCTAATTTAAATAAAAATTAGCTTCGGAAGCAGGCACCTTTTATATAATTCATAATCATTACCTTTGAACCATAAAGACTAATAATTATTAGGATATAATTAAATTGATATTGACTACTCAAATTTAGAATCACAAAATATAATTACAATAAATATTATTTCTGAACTGAATTATAACTTAAAGATTTGATTGATGATTACCTTTACTATCTAGGTCTTTTGATTATGCCCATCTAATAATAAATATTTGATGATATCATTCATAAATTAGTTATTCATGTAAATTACTGAATGAATGATTCATTTTTTTAGTCCAATCTAAAATTGCAAGATCGTTAATTAAATAATCAAATTCCATATTAATATTTTCTATGAATACAATCAGGTATTTAGTTTTCAATATGATGAAAATAAAATTCTTATAATGGATTCATTACGTAATACCTTTAAAACAATTTTAATCGGAAATCTTACATTACTAATTATAAAAAACAGTATCTTATCTCATCAAAATGAAAAAATATTATCTTTTTAACAATTAAGTGTTATATCAAATTACAAATTTAAAGACTTAAGAAATAATCCAAATACAAAATTTTAATAAATGACAATCGAGCCAAAATTTTTTTCACCTTTTAATTCAGTATATAGAATTTTAAATTCAAAAAAATCTGTAACTTTTTATCAATATCATTAGAGTTATAGAATATGTGTTAATGAAATCTTCTTTTTTAAATTAGATCATAGGTATTCATTATTTCTAATTTAAAGTTTATAATATAAAAGAAATTTATGATAACTCTTATTTTATGTTTATTAAAGGATTGAATTAGAATGAAATTATGATTATGATAAATAAAGGGCGATTAAATAATATATAATTACATTAATTAATCTATTAAATTAATATGAAAATTTTTAATCAAAAATAAGTTTAGGAAGTAATTTGCGAAATTCATAATCAAGATTTAAATGCTGTTTATTTCGACTTACAAGATAGCTCAAATTTAATCCCTTTATGGTAAATGTTTAGTTGAAAAAATGAATAACAATAAAGTGACTACTATTGAGTCATTAGAAGAAAGAATCTATTAAGTGAAGGCCTGATATACCTATTTGTGAGAGATTTGAAATTTTTTAAATGATTAATAAGTTTGATTATTGATTATCATTTGTTAAAGGAATAAGAAGGATTTTTTAAAGGGATATACTCATGTCTAGTTATCAACTCTTCTCTACAAAATTAAATAATACAACTTTAAGGATATTAGATAAATGATGTTTTGATATTTTAAGTCTGCTCTTAACACTGCCAATCTGAAATTATTATTTGATAATGTAGACTCTGTGAGATGATGCTATCTTTATATATATATGGCATTTTTTAGATTATGCGTAATAATTAAAATGATTTTTATTTCATAATATTTACTTTATAAAAATGCATCTTTGGTGACCTTTTTCTTTATAATTTTTTTACATGGCCAAAAAGATTTTTACAACTTTTTTGCTTATAGTACCTAGGTTTTCATTAATGACTTAAAAAAAGTTTTTCATAATGAAAATTTGTTAATTTTCAAAGCTTTTTTATAAAACTACCTAGAAAAGCTATATTTAGGGGAGAATGGAAGTAAAAATTCATGCGAGAAATTAAAGTATGATTTAGTTTAAGGTAAATGGCTTATCTGCTACAAGAACTATTTACTCTGGAAGTTTTTGTTCATTCAGGTTGAAGAATTAAAGTTCAAGCACATGTTTGTACATAATTTATGCCTATTAAATAAATTTTGAACCTTTGTTTTATTTATTTTTTATTTAATCTTTTTTTTTATTAGGCATATGTAGATTTATGAAACTGTTTATTTTCAGCCTATTACGATTATTAAATTTTGAAATCAAATCTCAAATTATTATAATAAATAAATTTATTGTTATTTTTGATTAAAGATTTTGTATTTATAATTGGCCTATCAAATTTAGATTTTTTAATTAAATTTTGTTTTTTGTAATTTAATCTTTTAAATTTTAAATTATCCATTCATACTTCGCAATTATTTATTTTTTTAATCGAATACATTAAATATCCTTTTCAAATTGATCTTTTTAGATGTTGCTCGTATACAAATAACATATCAGCATAAAGAGCAAAATTTTTGATTATGATTATTTAGTCCCTTGTGAATCTAACAATTCAATTAGCTAATTTAATAATTGGAGGGGTAAAAGCAACTTGGTTAGAATTGGATATGCAGAACTGTTATTTGTCTAACTTGACTGTTTTTTGTATAAAATGTAAATATTTATTTTAATTTGCCACCAATAAGTGTTTGAACCAAAAAAAGAAGAAGTTGGGCATGGCATTTTGCTGATGTCTTTCAAAAAAAAGTGCTGTTTGAGATAATATATGTTCTATAGTCTTCCTGCCTCGTCATTCATTAGATTACTTAATAATATTATTTGATTCCAATTTAGATGACAAATTTATCATGAAATATTTTTTAAATTAATAAAAATATTTTACTTCATTTTTGGGATTATAAAAATGATATTAAAAGATATAGATTGATGTAACAAAAAGTATTATCAGACTCATAGTTTTTGAAGTAAATAAAATAATGAATTAATCTTATACTCTTGATGGATGAAACTTTAGTTCTATATAATCTTACTTTAGATGACATAAGAAAAATGATCTGTTTCCATTTCATATTGTCGAAAATTAAAATATACAAAAATCGAAACAATATATCTGTTTGTATGATGTATGTGTTGAAAATTTTTTTGGGTAAAACAAAAAACTGCATGGCGATTTAAGATTTAAACCAAAAGTGAATTTAAAATTGAATATATCAAAATTGAATATGAAATTTGTCCAAACTCATTTCTAATGCTTTTGCTTGATAGTCTCTCTTGTTAATAATAAAAATTGAATCATTATAAGAATGATTAATTATAAAAAATGGCTAGCAGCCACAAAACACTTAGAATAAAATCTAATCCTTCACTATAAATGTATTTATTTATTAAAATTTATTTATTCTTTTTAAATAATTGAACCTTTTCTAATATATATAATATATTTAAAATTATTATATTAAATCATTTTCATCTCAGAATAAAGTATGAAAAAATAGTTTAAAATAGAATATTTATTTAAATTCGTTTTATTTAAACAAGCTTCCAACTTCAGCTTTGCGATTATCTTTGCAGGCTATTTATACTATGTATTCACAGAAATATTCATAAAAAATGTACTAAAATCAAAATCTCCAAGCTATTCAAGCATTAGTATTTTATGCAGATGAACTGACTATTAATTAAAAACAAAAATGGGAACAGCATTTTCTAGGGATTCTAGATGGTATATAAAATCTTTAATTTTGCCCTCAATTTTTAGACATGTGTGATTTAAACATAAAGCAGAGACAAAGGACCTTTCCTTTCAATACTGAAGTTATCAATAACTTAGGTAATTAAATTAACTCAAAAGTTGAATTATTTTACAAATAATTAATTTATAACGAAAAATTCATTATTTACAATCTTTAATAATATTAAAATTGCTCTATTTACTTCTTTATTATAATTAAAAAATTGCAATGAAATTGTTTGGTAAAAATTACAATATAGAAAACCTGAAGATTCAAACTTTTACTATTTAAAAGTTAAAAAGTAAAATTACCAATTTTGGTGGCAGTAATTTTGTTAAGATAAATGGTGCTTGTTAATTTAGGGCCATTATATAGATATAGCGACGCTTCAATAAAAGAGTTTTGAAGCATTAATCAGACCATTACATCTAAATTTTATCTTCTTTTTATTAGTTTAGAGCAATTGCTTGTAACTTAAGATTATCTTTATTTTTTAACTTCTGATTTTTGTACTCTTTTTTTCTATAATACTAATAATTGTGTTTTTGAGTGATATAATAAAGCAAAATAATGCAATTTTATTGCAGTAAATTTTTTTTTCAGGATAATTAGTTAATCTCAAATATGTATTTCTATTTTGTGTTTTTTCATTAGTATTTTCCAAATTGCCTTGAAAAAGTACCCAACTGCTAGAAACTTGCAATACAGTATTTTATGCAATTGAACACCAAGGCCCATGTTTATATTTGTATTAAACAAGTGAAAAAAAATTTTGAATTAGAATTTAAAGTAGGCTAAGGAAAAAATCAACACAGAAGATCAAAATGCTTATGGAAAAAGTATTGTAGCAAAGGAATCAATACTTAGATTAAAAAATGCTAAAAACAATATTTAGCAATCACAAATAAACACAAAAGAAAATAGCAAAAGCAGGAATTAAATAAACAGTAAAAAGCAGAATAAAAGAAAGAGAAAGAGCAGAATATTATTTTTAAGAGAGGTAAAAGATTAGTTGAGAAATGCAAATGATAAAATTGCATTAGAAGAAAAATAATAGATAATCATAAATTAATAAAATCTTTGATCTTTTATTTTCTTTTTAATACTTATTCGATTTATTCTTTATAATGACTGCACTTATTAAACTTCTTCTTAAGTTCCTTAATTTATTTGTTCTAACTCTTCGGTTAACTTTGATAATTTAAGCAATTTTTTAGCTTAAATGAGCTTTTTGCAAGCATGTTTATTCTTTGGTGAATCTTAATTAAATTTCCCAACTAAGATTTGATTAATTCTACACTTTGAGGTTCTTGAACAAAGAATGATTCGGATTTATTGTTTTAAGAACATTTTTTAACAGGGTAGTTTCAATCAGCTAAACCATTAGCCATAAAATTTCCTCTTTATTTTATGATCTAAGGATTTATCCTATTTTAACTTTTTTTATTTTCGAGCTAAAAATTTTTTTTCTTAGGAACTCTGAGCTAATATTATGCTGTTATACCTGAAGAATGAATCGCAGACAAATATTATCCTGCTAAGATTAATCCATATTACATAGATTTAACAGAACTAGTTTCATAATTTGCTTGTTAAATGGAAATCAAAAAGAATTATCGATATTTGTTCAATTAATTTTAAAATGCAATAGAAAAATTATATTGAAAATAAAATTCTTTTCCAGCCAATCAAATTGTAAGCAATTAATCCCAATGTAAAATTCAAAATTATATAGACTAACACGAACAAATTAATTATTGTTCTTTAAATAAAAATTATAACTAGATTATTTCATTAATTGGAAATAAATTTCAATTGAATTTTTATTATTGGATGATGATATGAGTTTTAGAATATAAAATCTTATAAAATGCAAATAATACTATTTTTTCAAAATTTTATCTAAATTAAACTCCAGCTTCTTCTTCTCTGAAATAATATCATTTGTTTTAGCAGGCCTTAAACTTAAACTACATTATCCAGACATACATACATTAATGACTGTCATAAATTTTATTAAACATATATGTGTATGAAAAAGGTTTTTGACCAAAATAAAACGGCAAATGTAGGAATTGATTACTTTACTTTAATTGATGTACATAAAATTATACAGCAAAAATTATAAATAAAAAGAGATGAAAAGTTAAGAAAAAAGATTAACAAAACCAAGAGAACTAAAATATTTTAATCTTAATTAACTTTCAAGCTAAAGAAAATTGCTTCAGAATTAGGGAATTCTATAAACAAGCAATTTTACCATAATATTTAGTAATTTAAGTTTGAATGGCTAATTTCTATAACAGCAAGTTCTAGAGCATCCAAATTTTCTCATTCAATAATCACTTGAGAAATAACATAAATTATGGATTGAAAAAAAATTTTCGCTCAAGATAATGTTGCTCACTTGAGGATTGCAAAACAAATAGATTAAGAATTAATTGTAAATTTTCATATCAATAAAAACAACTGCAATTTCATTAGTTTTTTTAAGTGGTTTAAACAGCTGGGCTATATACTAGTTGCCTACCTATTTGAGTTAATTTTAAGTCTCAACCAAATCCTCTTTAGACAGAAGATTTGAATTTCAAAATAACTAATTACTCTTCTAAGTTAAAATTAAAAATTAGCCTATATTGATGAATGTAGCTATGGTAGAAACTTAAAAGTTGGACGAAGCTGGATAAAAAGAATAGCTATCGATTGCTGTAAATAAAATCGAACTCATCAAAAAGTAAATATGTAATTGGTGATGTCGTTTTTGGTGGGTTTATTGGTTATAATGTTTTATCTAAAATGTAAATCAATAGGTATTTGGAGAATTTTTGAATTAATTTTTATGGCTGCTTGAGCAAAATAATGAAGAAAATAATTTTTGCTTAGTGCTGGATAATGCTTCCATTCGTCGGACATAATTTCTGAATCAATTATGATTTGTTAATCATTTACTTCTTCCTCCATATAGCCCTTGACTTAAGTGCATCGAAAGGCTGTGTGGAATTTCTAAGCGATAGTTCTCCAAAATGAATTTTCCAACAACTGCTTAAGAATTTCATAATTTCCATGTTGTGCTAAACTCTATTACATCAACTCAAATTCAAAACATCTGCACTTCTAACCTATAATTGGTATAAGCTTGCTTTTAAGGAAAATAATTCTGATGCTATTATATTCAATTAAAATTTATATCAGGTTTATTAAATAAATGAGTTCCTTTCGAATAATGACAGTGTAGCAACTGCAGACTATTAGTCTTGAATAATTTAACACTTTAAAACAGATTTTAGTCGAAGCAGAGTTTGATATTTGGGGACAGTAAGGGATCTAAATCACTCGCTCCCTAATCTTTCCAGTCAACTCTCAATATAATTAGCCTTTCATTTTTTAATTATTTTTTTTTATTATAAAAATTTGATTATTGGTTTGCGTTATTAATGAGTGATTAATAATCAATTCTATTTTTTCTAAAACGATATTTAGCCTTCCAAAATGAAACTTCCTTTAGATTTGAAAAATGATCTTAAGTCGTTTCCAAATTCGTTTGTAAATTCTCCTTTAAGAATTAAAGCTCCTTATGCTTAAAACTTTGGTGATGTGGATATTTCTAGAATTGTTATATAAGTGTTTACTAACAAATTATAAATAAAATTATTACTTTCGGTATAAAGAGGTTGGTTAAATTATGCTAGAACATCATTGTAACTTATTTGATATGGGTCAAGTTCTTTATATGGTTGAATATCCCAGAAAAAGATAGATTTATCATACCAGATGCTAACATCAAACCATCAGAAGAGAAACATACTGAGTTGACAAAATTAGTATGACCATCATATTTGACTATTTACTATCCTGAATTTATATCCCATAAACGGATAGACTAATCACAACATCCAGATGCTAATGTAGTACCATCAGGAGAGAAACATATTGAGTTGACATAATGAGTATGACCTTCAAATTTGGCTTTTTATTATCTTGTCTTAATATCCCATAAACGGATAGATTAATCACAGCTTCCAGATGCTAATGTAGAACCATCAGGAGAGAAGCACACTGTATATACAGCACTAGTATGACCGTTCAATAAGACAATTTATTATCCAGTTTTCACATCCCACAAACGGATAGATTTATCATAACTACCAGAAGCTATTATAGAACCATCAGGAGAGAAGCATACTGAATATACAGCACTAGTATGACCATCCAATTTGGCTCTCTATTTTCTTGTTTTAACATCCCATAAACGTATTGAAGTATCACTACTAGCAGATGCTAATATAGAAGCATCAGGGGAGAAACATACTGAATTAATAAAATGATTATGGCCATCTAATTTTGCTCTTTATTAAACTTTTTTAACATTCCATAAACGTATAGATTTATCACCACTGCCAGATGCTATTTTAGTACCATCAGGAGAGAAGCATACTGATTGAACAGCATGAGTATGACCATCCAATTTAGCTCTCTATTATCTTGTTTGAACATCCCATAAACGTATAGATTTATCCCNCTAATCTTTCCAGTCAACTCTCAATATAATTAGCCTTTCATTTTTTAATTATTTTTTTTTATTATAAAAATTTGATTATTGGTTTGCGTTATTAATGAGTGATTATAGATAAAAATAGATTTAAAATATAAAAAAAAATATCAAGAAGTATGAAGACTTAGAGGAAATGTTATTAGACTATAATAATCAATTCTATTTTTTCTAAAACGATATTTAGCCTTCCAAAATGAAACTTCCTTTAGATTTGAAAAATGATCTTAAGTCGTTTCCAAATTCGTTTGTAAATTCTCCTTTAAGAATTAAAGCTCCTTATGCTTAAAACTTTGGTGATGTGGATATTTCTAGAATTGTTATATAAGTGTTTACTAACAAATTATAAATAAAATTATTACTTTCGGTATAAAGAGGTTGGTTAAATTATGCTAGAACATCATTGTAACTTATTTGATATGGGTCAAGTTCTTTATATGGTTGAATATCCCAGAAAAAGATAGATTTATCATACCAGATGCTAACATCAAACCATCAGAAGAGAAACATACTGAGTTGACAAAATTAGTATGACCATCATATTTGACTATTTACTATCCTGAATTTATATCCCATAAACGGATAGACTAATCACAACATCCAGATGCTAATGTAGTACCATCAGGAGAGAAACATATTGAGTTGACATAATGAGTATGACCTTCAAATTTGGCTTTTTATTATCTTGTCTTAATATCCCATAAACGGATAGATTAATCACAGCTTCCAGATGCTAATGTAGAACCATCAGGAGAGAAGCACACTGTATATACAGCACTAGTATGACCGTTCAATAAGACAATTTATTATCCAGTTTTCACATCCCACAAACGGATAGATTTATCATAACTACCAGAAGCTATTATAGAACCATCAGGAGAGAAGCATACTGAATATACAGCACTAGTATGACCATCCAATTTGGCTCTCTATTTTCTTGTTTTAACATCCCATAAACGTATTGAAGTATCACTACTAGCAGATGCTAATATAGAAGCATCAGGGGAGAAACATACTGAATTAATAAAATGATTATGGCCATCTAATTTTGCTCTTTATTAAACTTTTTTAACATTCCATAAACGTATAGATTTATCACCACTGCCAGATGCTATTTTAGTACCATCAGGAGAGAAGCATACTGATTGAACAGCATGAGTATGACCATCCAATTTAGCTCTCTATTATCTTGTTTGAACATCCCATAAACGTATAGATTTATCCCTACTACCAGAGACTATTGTAGAACCATCAGGAGAGAAGCATACTGATTGAACAGCATTAGTATGACCATCCAATTTAGCTTTCTATTAGCTTGTTTTAACATCCCATAAACGTATTGAAGTATCATTACTACTAGATGCTAATATAGATAAATCAGGGGAGAAAGATACGGATAAAATAGCTCCGCCATGGCCATAAAATTTTTTTTCTTAGTATCCTGCTTTAACGTTCCATATAATAATCGACTAATCATAACTACCAGAAGCTAAAAGAGCATCATCAGGGGAGAAAGATAAGGATAAAACAGCATCGCCATGGCCATAAAATTTCTTTTCTTACTATCCTGCTTTAACTTTCCATATAATTATCGACTGATCATAACCACCAGAAGCTAAAGTAGCACCATCAAAAGAAAAACATACACATAAAACTGTTCCTCTGTGACCATAAAATTTTCTTTTTTACTATCCTATTTTAACATCCCATAAACCTATCGATTAATCACTACTTCCAGATGCTAATGTAGAACCATCAGGAGAGTAGCATATTGAGTTTACTATACATTCATGACCATCCAATTTCATTTTTTATTATCCAGTTTTTACATCCCACAAACGAATAGATTTATCGTAACTTCCAGATGCTATTGTAGAACCATCAGGTGAATAACATATTGATTTGACCAAATGATTATGACCATCTAATTTGCTTAATTATTACTCTGTATCAACATCCCATAAATTTATAGAACAATCACCACATCCATATTTATTGTAGAAGATATTGTATTATCCAAAAATATCAACTAGTTCGCAATTACTATAACCACAACCAGTTGCTAATTTTGTGGAATCAGGAGAGAAGCATACTGCATTGACATCACTTTTAAACCCTTAAATGATTGCTTTTTAGTATCCCAGAATCGGACAGATTTATCACTACTCCCAGATGCTAAATTGCCATCAAGAGAAAAACAGACTGATAAGACAAAACTAGTATGACAATCTAATTTGATTTATTACTATCCTGTTTTAACATCCCATAGGAGGATAGATTTATCTGCACTACCTGACGCTAATATAGTACCATCAGGAGAGAAGCAAATAGTATTGACATTCGATCTATGCCCTTATAAAATATTTTTTTTATATCCTGTCTTAACATTCCATAATAGGATTAAACCTTCTTTACCACCAGATGCTAATAAAGTACAATCAGGAGAGATGCATATTGTGTCAACCCTCTTAGAATGTCCATTTAATTTTTATTTTTTTTTCCTAGTTTTAACATACCATAAACGAATAGAACAATCAGCACTACCAGATGCCAATATTGAACCATCAGATGAGAAACATACTGATTAGACAGCCTTTGTGTGACCATCTAATTTTGCTTTTTATTATCCTGTTTTTACATCCCATAAAATGATAGACTTATCTTCAGTACCAGATGCTAATGTAGTACCATCAGGAGATATACAGACTGACCAGACAGCCCCAATATTTCTATCGAATTTGGCTTTTAATTATCCTGTCTAAACATCCCATAAAATGATAGACCTATCCCAACTACCAGATCCTAACGTTCTACCATCTGGAGAGAAACATACTGATTGGACACTACGAGTATGACCATCTAATTTATTAGATAAATTTCCTGTTTTAATATTATTCCATTTACAATTTATAAGTTAAGCTCCATTTAAATTTATTCCATTAATATCTACATTAAAAAATTATGATCCACTTAAATTACATCTCACAAAATTAGCTCCTACTAAAGAAATATTCTAAATTTTTATATTTTCAAAACTGTTGTTCGTCAGGTCAACCTTCATGTCTACTAATAAATTTAATGAATTTGACCCACATTATATAAAAGTATTATCAATAGACGTGAGGTGAACTAAAAATTTCAAAAACTCAATGATCTACCTTTGATAATTTATATATATAATTAAATCTTGCTTATTTTTTTAATTTTTATAGTTGGAAAAGTCTATCTTATTAAATTCATGATCTTTTATTTTCTTTAAGACATAAATAAGTTGTTTAATGTTATTATTAACATCATAAAACTTGTATTCCTTATCAACGTTTATTAAATCCATTCCTTGTTTAATATATGATTCAAATTTTCTTTGATTTCCATTATCTGAAAGATAATCTATACAGTCTTAAACATCTTCCTTCCGAAAAATTTATATTATAAATCTAAATATATGTTCATCTTTATCTTCAACTAAAGCAAAAATTTCAGACAGATTTTCCTTCTGTTTAAAGGTGCAATTCATTTTTTATTTTTTTATTTTTGAATTTCTATTACTTTACTCAAAGCTTTATATTAAAATGCGAAAAAGTATCTTATTTTTTTTTTAAGTAGGAACGCCATACATAGTGTAGGTTTGAAGTCTATTTTAATCGATGTTGCATTGCATAATAAGAAACAAATTCGGCATTTACATTACTTAATTTTTAAAGAATATGGAATATTATTATGAATAATTTTATTATATATAATAATTTAATTTGAGTTCTATTTTTGCTGCATCTTTTTCTTCATTCTACAAATTATATTATATTTACAGGATGGTAATTATTATTACTTTCTATAAACTGTCTAACTTGTATTTATAATATTGATTCCAAAACTCTATAATGTTAAATTTGGATTGATCACTATGCCTTAGATAATGGAGAGTGGCTTCTTTGTGGTAATTATTGCAGCATTTGATTACAATATTATGATGAGAATATTAATAGATTATTTAAAATTTTACTGATTATAGATGAATCAAAATCTTTTTCTCTTTTGAAGGGATTAATTGTTTAAGTAAATACCATAAAACATCTGTGATTATATTTTTAGGCCTTGTCTTATGATAAGTAGATTATCACTCTTGCTAATTTTTATTATAACAATCGAATAATCTAAATTTTTTATCAGCCTATTAGCCTATTGTATTCATTGGCCTCGAAAATTATTCAATTTAGTGAATATAGCCCTAGATTAATTGAAAACTGTGCTACATGTTTAAGGGAGAGTATGAAAATGGCCAATTATTCATATTTGGCTTGAATCTAACGCAGAAATAATATCAGGTAAATGTTATTAATGTTCATTTGAATTACATTGCTTTAGTTTTTGTCAAAAGCAAAATTATTAAAGGATTTTTGTAAAATCCAAATCCTACCATTAGACTAAGTAGCAATTAATTTTGACAATAATCATCCTTTTAAAATCAATGCATAAAGTGAAGAGAAAATTGTAAAATATTAATGGCTAGAATTAATGTTTAAGATGTGAAATGGATTCAAAACGTAGAAAATTTACTTTATGTGATAATCATTATAGGGTTTTATCATAATCATCAATCTATTTACCGTTGGATCTCCAGAGTAAGGATTATTTATTGATTACTTTTTATAATTTAATTGCATTGGTTTTATTTTATTTCATAAATTTATATTTGAAATCTATAATGGGAGGATGATTTGATTGAGAATTTTTCCATTCTTTTATATATTTATTTTAATACTTAATTTTTATTGAATTAAAACTATTATATCATATTCTTTTTACTCTGTTTTTATTTTACAGTCAAATTTAAGTGTTCAACTTTTAATCGAAGTGCCATTAGAACAACTCTCATAAATATGTACAGTAATAATTTAGCAATTTATAATTCTATATCTATTTACAGCTAAATTTGATTGGTGGATTGTTCAACTAATATCATATTGAGAGATCTCAGGTTATAAATGGATTAAATCAAAAGTTTCCTTAAGATTTGATACTTTTGATCTTTAAAAATAGATGCTTCCACTTTTTCTGCCTGTGCTTGTGATGCTTGCAATTATCATTCCAATCTCATTTTTTTAGTTTTTATAGTAATTCTCACTAGTTAAATATCAAAAAGTTAAAAGTTTTAAGGGGTAATTTTTATAATGAGTACACTAAAACTACTAATTTTGGGAAGTGAATCATAAAAGGATTAATGATCATCTTTTTGACATATAATTAGGATATATAATTTAAAAAGAAACTCTTATTTCACTAATTTTAGGCGTGTACTTAAAATTAAGTTTAAAATATAGTAGAGTGTTTGAAGGAGAAAATATCTAAATCTGGATAAACTTAGGTAAGTTTTTAGATATAATTTTCCTTTTCTAAATTATATTGCATTTATGAGAAGAATAATAGCTGACTGCTCTAAACAGAATAATCGAGTTTCTCTTTTGTATAATATATTTTTATGAAAAATTAGTTAAGAATCGAGTTGACTAAATGGCAGAAATTTTTCACAATCAAATTTAAAGATTTTAAAAAGCAACTCCCAATTTATAAAGTGAAAAGTATATTAAGGATGACAGCGAAGAGTGAATTGAAAAATCAATAAATACATAATTTATTGTATAATCATATTAATATTTTATTAAAATATCAGTGCTATCTTAATCCTCAGTTATAATTGAATAATAATTCTGAAAAACTGAATAGAATAGAGAATTCATGAGATTAATTTCATTAGATAGCTTCTTAATTTATTAATAAATAAATTGATATTGATAGATAATCAACAATTACAGACAATATTTAAATATGAGAACATTATAATATCTGTTTAAATTCTTAAAATGAGTATGATTTTTTTATTCGGTTCAAAGTGCTGTTTAATTAGAGAAATAGTAATTGAATAATTAAGCATAATATTTAAAAAGAGGAAAAGACTTTACCAAATATTTACTTTTGAATTAAAATACTTTTCTTTGCAAATAGTTTAATTTAAAATTTTTAGAGTATCAATGTTCTTTTGGGTTCAGATTTAATTGCATCTCATTTGAAACGATATTGAGGATTTTTTACATGAATATGATTAGGATTTTAAGAAATAGAAATATTTAAATTCAATCAAAAAAAGTTAAAAAAATAAAGGTCTAAATATTTTCATATTAATAATAATCATTTTTGAGCTGAATTGAAATCTTGATTCTCTTCACTTTTCAAAATAAAGCTTCCTTTTTGTTGAAATAACTTTCTGAGATTCATCCCAAGACGATTAGTAAACTCCCCATTCATTATTAAAGCACTTTGCGCAGTAAATTATTCATGTTTTCAAATTCTGATAAGGGTAACGATATCTTGAACTTAAAAAATAATTTTTTATATTTGAATAGAATATTGGATTTTTTAATTTATTTGAAGTATTACACTATCTAATCTGTTATAAATGATTATCGGCTTGGGAGTAAATTTAATTACCGTATTAAATTTTTTAAATATATATTGAATTAAATTATATTTAATGGATTTAGGTAAAAGGCCATCAGAAACTAGGCTTTATGGAAATATTTCTTTTTCTTATTAACAGTTTATATTCCATATACAAATTGATTTATCGATGCTTCTAGATACTAAAATAGAACTATCGGGAGAAAAACAAATTGATAAGACATAATCATTATGGCCTTGCAATATACACTTTCCTTCCCCCAATTTTACATCCCATAAACGAATAGTATTATCCCAACTACCAGAGGCTAATACAGTGCCATCAGTAGAGAAGCATAGGGATGAAACTTATCCATTATGTCCTTTTAATATTTTAGTTTTTTCTCCTGATTTAACATCCCATAAATAGATGGATTTATCTTCACCACCAGAGGCTAATTTGATGCCATCTGGAGAGAAGCATAATCAATAAATACTTCCATCATGTCCATTTATTATTTTTTTTTCTTTTCCAGACTCTATATCCCATAAACGGATAGATTTATCAGAACTCCCTGATGCTAATTAAAGTCCGTCTGGAGAAAAGCTCACAGAAGTAACAATTCCCTCATGTCCCTATAAAATTTTTGTAAAAGTTCCTAACTTTATATCAAAAAACTGGATAGATTTATCACATACTAATATGGAACCATCTGGAGAGAAGGACAAAGAAATCAAACCTCCGTTTCTTTCAACATGAATTTTCTTTTTATCACCTGACCTTACACTCCATATAAATATAGATTTGTCTCTACTGCAAGAAGCTAATATTGTATCATCAGGAGAAAAGCATACTGATTAAACTCCTTCACTATGTCCTTGTAATATTTTGATTAATTCTGCAGAATTTACATTCCAAAAATGGATGGATTTATCCCAACTACCTGATGCTAATAAACTAGCATTAGAAGAGAAAAATAAAGTTATAACTCCTCGATCATGTCCTAGTAAGGTTAGTATTTCTTATCCAGAATTAATATCCTATATACGGATAGAATTATCTTCACTACCAGATGCTAGGGTCAAACCATCAGAAAAACTTACTGATTTAACTGAAACATTATGTCCATATAATTTATTCAATACTTCTCCTGACTTTACATCCCATAAATGAATAGTTTTATCGCTACTACCAGAAGCTATTATATTACCATCATAAGAATAGGATACTGAATTTACAGTTCCATTATGTCCTTCTATTTTATGTAACTCATTTATTTAAAGATTTTTCCATATAAAATTAATATTGCACAATTTAAATTGATTCCATGAATTATGACATTTTCAAATTCAGATCCACTTAAATCACATTATGAAAAGCTAGCTCCAATGAGAGAAGTATTTTTAATTCTAACATTTCTAAAAGATTATTATGTGAGATCAACTTTCTTTTCAACCAAAATATTCAATGAATTAGATCCACCCTAAATTAATCCTTCATCTATGGATGTAAGATGGACTATGAATTTCAAAAATTATATAATATTTTGATCTTTCTATATTTTTTATATCAGAAATTTTCTACTTTCTTCATAAGTTTTGGTTGAATAATTGATAATATTAAAATCATGATTTCTTAATTTATAAACAAATTCAATAGTTTTCTTAACTTTTTCTTCAATAGCATTTTTCTCTTATTATTTTTAATAAGATAAAAGATTTTTCATGGAAAATATTTTTAAAAAGTGTTTTTCAGTTATCTACTTTATATAACATCCTAAACTTTCATTTTTATTTTATGAAAATTGTATTTCTAGTATTGTGCTATATATCCTTGCATCAAATTATTTTGATTATAATAAAATCTCAAACAAATCAGCTGCAATCAGAAATTTTTAAATAGATTTATGTACAAATTAAAAACTTTTACCCTTTTATTAAACCAAAGAACAACTTCGAATATCTTTTTTATATGAACCATTTTTACAATCATCATTAAAAAATTCATCTAGCCATTCTTCTTCTTTTTTCTCATCCTTATATATTAAACCCTATTATTTAAATTAGACTTAAGTCAATTCTTTTGCACTCATTTATTTTGCTAGCTTAATTGAATATTTTAATAAATCATGAAGTAACCTATCAGTATTAATAGATTTTCCTAAATTTCTTTATTTTTCAATCTATTTAAAATGATACTCATTTATAAATTCATAGTAAAAGTCATAACTAGTAAGATTATATTCTTTTAACGAATAGCATTATATTATCCTTTCATTTTCAATTTCTAATTTCTTAAGTGCTGTTTCTAGAAAACCTTCAGTTTATAACCCATTTTTATCAAAATAATTAGCTTCAAAAATTTTTGTAATTTTCTATTTAAATCATTTAAATCAGAAGATATTTTTATACTTAGAAGAGTATAATTTTTTAAATATTCCTTTTATTAAACTTCATCAATTTTTAATAACTAAATCTCTTTAAACTTTTATTTATTTTCAGTTGCAAACCAATCAACATAATTATTAGTAGTAAAAATTTCACCTCTTTTTGTGAAAATCACAAGTGGATTTGACCAATTTTATTTTAACTTTATTTGTAATATATAAATTCTTTGAAATATTCTCCAATTTCATCTCATCATATCCATCCATAATAAGTAAAAATCTAAACTCAATCTTTTCCAATAACTCTTTACATTCTTTTAACTAAAGATTATCGAAGCCATAATCATCTTAATGGAGTGCTTCTTCTAAAACTTAATAAATAGGATTTTTTAAGGATGGTAAAGAAATGTAAATAGGTATAAGCAATTTATTTCCTATTTTTATATTTTAATTATGCAAATTCCATATAAATTCTTCTATTTTCTTAGCTGTTGTACTTTTACCTGATCCAGCTACACCATGTACTAATAATACTATCTCTTTCTCATCAAATAAAAACTCATTTACCTCTCCTTCTTTATCATTAAATTATTCTAAATTCATCAAATTACTTGTTTTATTTTTTCCTTTTCTTTAAGTTTTTAATGGAACATATAGAGATTTCACATTATTGATTGCTGTTTCTTTTAATACTTTCCATTTTCTAATTTCCAATAGTTATTGTACAGATTTTCCTCTAAGAAATTTTAAATCATTACCAATACAATTGAGTTAATCTTTCTTTATTTAATTTTGACTTCAACTTTTTTTAATTCTTTTCTAATTTGATTTATAAAATCTATGGTGAGATTAAACTATTTCCCCATTTCACTTATATACTATATATACTAATCTAATTGTTCATTTGTATCATTAAGTTCTTTGAGTTATTAATCTCTTTTGTTAGGATTAACTTCATGAGAAATAAAAATTTTTAAATTATCCATTTTATTAATCAATTATTACATTTCTTAGGCTATTTTAATTTTTTATATTTTCCAGTCTTTTTTGAATAAATTCATTTACATATTAATTAAATCTTAGTTTTTAATTGTTTTCTTATTCTTTAATCTTTTTCTTATTTCTAGAGTTTAATAAGTGGAGACTAGCAATATGAATTAATGGAATCCATTGTACTATTTGAAGAAACCTAAATTAATGTAAACACTAAGTCCTATTTAATTTTCCATTCATCATTATTCTTAAAATCTTTATAGTTTTGTTTCAAGGAATCAAATAAACCACCTTTATTTTGATTAGGTTCTTCTTCAAAATCTTATTAGTCTTGGTTTAAATAGATTTTAGGAATTAATTGAATCAGATGTTCTTATTCCATTGATATATCTGAGGATTTATTATTTATTACGAGTTATTTTTTTATACTTATTTTTAATTTCTAAAAAAAATCTAGAAGATTTATTTTTTTAGAATTCCTTTTTTCAACAATATTATCGATTAAAAGTTCTTCCTATTATAGGGTCATTTATATTCTATCAAAGTATGTTTTAAAATTTTCATTTTCCTCTTGCTATAGGTCAATTTTTGTTGATTGTGAATTATCGAAATTCTTAATTAATGTATAAAAATATGAGTTAAAATGTTAATTGATTATTTCTTTTGTTTCTTCCTTCATTATAAGAGATTACTTTTAAAAATCTTAAATAACTTAAAGTAGTTGATTTAAAAACTGTTTTTCTTCTTAAATTTTTATTTATTAAAGTCTTATAATATTAGCAATTATTTATAAATTTACTCTATAATTCTCATTATTTTAAATATTTATCTTATTTTCTAGTTGATATTGACCTCTCTGTACATCAAATTAGAGATTATTTTATTTTAATTATTATTTTTCTTGTTCAGTACAATATTAATTAAATTATCTTAATATGTTTTTTAATTCCACTAATTCTCCATTAATTGTTAATTTCAATATTTATTTAATATCATTATTTTCTATATATTAATTTAAAGGATTATTTAATACTTAAATAATTTTCTCTATTTATTTTATTAATTTCTTTAAGAATTCCTTGCCAATCTTATCTTTATTTAAGTTCTTACTGAAATCTTTTATTTTTCTTAAATCAATTAATAAACCTCAAGCTTTTCTTATTCAAACTTTAATTTTTATTAGCTTAAATTTTCTTAAGGATTTTATTTATCTGATTAAGAAAAATTGAGCTCTTCTATTATTTATAATATTTTGTCAATAAATTCATGTAAGTAATTTTTTCTTTAGAAAATGTTAAATTCTAATATTCCTTAATATTTTGATAATTTATTTTAGAATTAAATTTTTGTTAACTCCATACTATTCAATTCTTATATAGTCTTTTTATAAACTTTAACATGGCTTTTGTTAGTTCTTATGGGGTAATCTCTAATGATATCAAGTAAAAATTCATCCAAATTGATAATTTCTTTCAACTATTATAATTCTTATGTATACTATTAAGCTGATGATAAAATATTCTAAAGGTATTCTTAAAAATCATTAATTTTAATTGCTGCTTTTACATATAAATGTTAATTTAACCTCTTTTTTAGAAATATTTTCAGAAATCTGGATTTTTTTCTTGATTGGATAAAAAAGAAGCTTCTATTTCATACTTTATAATCATAATTTTCTTGAGAATTTAGATGATGCCATCAAATTCAGCATAAAATTTTTCATATTCAAATTTGTAATATTGAATAAGATTTTTTATTGTTATCTCAAAATATAGGACTAAATTATCCTTTTAAAGAAGTGAGTTTTCTACAATTTTCATTTATTTTTTTGAATTTTCAAAAAATTTTAGTAAACTTAATGATTCTTTCTTCTTTCTTTTTTTATCTTGAAAAACTTTTGATAAAGTTAGAAGTTTCTAATAGAAGTTATTAATTATTTATTAAGTTTTTTATTAAAATTTAATTTTTGTTAATTTACATATTTCTTACTCAATTATTTCATTTTCTTTTAAAAAAATTTCATCAATTTCATTATTTGATTACTATAGTCCAGATTTTTCATTGTTTCTTTCTTAAATTTCTTTAATATATTCTTGTTATATATATTCTGTTAGTTTCATGAAATACGTTAATTATAAAATATGAATCATCTCTTAATTTTTGATATTTTTATTTAAATTATTTTTAATATTCTTTTCATTTAAATAAAGATTATAAATTTTCATAATATTAAGAATGTTTTGAAAATATTCTTATAGATAGCTAATGTTTGTTTAGATTTATTAAGAAAATGTTCTTTAAGTTGTTTTAATATTTAAATTATATTTTTCATCAAATTTTTCATATTCTTAAATAATATTGATAGATTTTCATAATTTTATCCAATTAATTTTAATAATTGATTTGATATTATGAAACTTAAAAACTTTTGAATTGTATTTACATTAAAAAAATCCTCATTGCTTTCACTATTTTAATTCCCTAAATTTAATTTATTCTTTAAATATGATTCAAATGAAGGAGGATTATTTGATTATTTAATAATAGATTAATCGTCCATTAAGTATTCTTTAAATAATATAAAGTTTTCCCATCCATAAAAACATTTTTATAATATTAATTTATCAGTTTGTGTTAATTTTTGGTTATTAAGTTAATTAAGTTATATAATTGCCCAATCCTTACAATTAATTGCACTAATTAATATTTTTTGATTAATATAATCTTTCCAAATTTAATTTGTAGTCAATCCTAAGTATTAAAATTTGTAAGATAATTAACATAATCTCTTTTAATTTATTTTAGGATTATAGACTAATATATTGCCTATCATTTAAATCCAACAATAATGATCATTCCAATTGTTTGAATTTTTTATTAATTTTTCATATATGGCTTCCATATGTGAAATTATTTCTTAAATATTTTATTATTTATTTTTCTTAAAGTAATTTATAAGTTCCCATAGTAAATTATCTATTTGAAAATAAACTTCATAATATTTTCTTTTTTAATTTATATCATACATTTTGTATAGTAAACATGCACCTTTAAACAAAGATTCAAGTAAATCAGAATCTATACTAACTTTAATAAAAGATTATAATATTCCTTTTAAACATCCTTTTAAAATATCATTTTTCTCAGTTTCATTATTTGGAGCCATCTCAAATGAAGATTTAGTTAAGAAAATATAATGTTCCATTTAATTTTAAATTAGATCATTCTTTCTCTATATCAATTTATTATTTTATTTCATCACAAATGTCTATTAGTTCATGTTTCGTAACAAATTTCATATATCTTTATTCATTCATTAAATGGAAGCTAAAGATCACTTTTGATAGTGAAGTAGTAATCTATAAAATATAAAAGCACTTAAAAAAATCTGTTCTTATATAAAATAGACAACTTTTAAGCAAATATGTTATTCCTTCTAAAATTAAATCATAGGATTTTTTAACATTGTAGATATTCTTGATGAGGTTATAAATACATTTTTCTTAATAAACAAACCATTGAATAGCTTTCATAATTTCGTTTGATTCTATTCATTAGCAGCCAATTTGGCCTTAGAATATATTATTGAATGTTATTATTAAATCCAGAAAAGAAATGTTATTCATCTTAATCATCATCAGCTTATGAGTTTTATGATTTAGAATGATTTAATTTATAAATTCCGCATCCTCCTCTTCTTAAATATGAATCTTATATCTTATTTTAGATTAACATTGTAATATTAAAAAAATAAATCCCAAGTTGGATAACAAGTAAACATTAAAAAGAGATGAAATAATACTCTATTTATAAAATAGTATTAATTGAATAATCTAAGAGTAATAAATTTTGAAAGATCAAGAATATCTTTCATTTCTCATACTTCTTTATAATCTTTATATTTAATCTGAGCATGTTATCCAAATCATGAAAATAGATCAAAGAAAGAAATTGTTTTCATTTTTTGATTTGGAATTAATAGTTTTTTGAACTGTAAATTCAATTGAAATAGTTGAGATTAATTAATATAAAAAGATAAATTTCATTTTAGTGAAAATAATTGTATGAAAATTTTGTTAGAAAGAACTTTATAAAATGAATTAGAATATCAATATTTTCTGAATAATCATTTATTCCTTCTTCTATTTCTAATTTATATTTGCAATTATGAATGTCTGAAATGTTGTTTTTAAAAAAATCATAAATTAACTCATCCTCGTTGTACCATGTAAATCTCTGTATTCTATACAAAAACCTAATATTTTTAGCATAATAATTCTATTTCTTTGAAATTAAGAATAGGTTGAATTATTGTTTCTTTCTTAAAAAATGACAATACAATTAATTTTAAAAAGAATCCTATATTAATGGTTGGTTTTTAATCTTTTCACAATCCAATAATCTTTACAAATTATTCTTTGCCATAAGCATAATTTTCATTATTTTACCCTTCATTAGGAATATTAAATATCATAAATAAACAAGCATTTCCTTTTTTTTTAATGACTCATTATAAAATTTCAAGTATAGGAATTCTTCTCCTTCATAATCATAAAATATGTAAATTTTTGATCCATAAAAAATTAAGTATATCTTTCTATTTATCATAAATTTTTGTTATTAAACCTTTAATCAGAGAATTCTTTTAGTATTCAAGTCGATTAAAAATGTTTGATTCCTTAAATTTTATTAACCACTTTGTTATCATTATGTTAGATTTTAATTGATAAACATAAATCCAAAAACCTAATTGTTAAAATAACGAATCACAAGCTAATAAAAAATTTTATAGTCTTTATAAAATACTGATGAAAATTATATTTATGCCTTTTGAGACTTAAATTATTTATTATGAATTATATTATTATCATTTTTATAAGTTTTATCAAATACATTATGTAGATATTTTATATTATTTATTTAACAAAGTTATTTTAAAAAAATTAAATCTTAATAACTCAAAGATTATGCTAATATAATTATTGGATAATTAAATATTTAAACAGAGTCATTTATATATATATATATTCTCCACTGATATTGACAGTAAGGATATTTAACTGTTATTCTGTTGTTTTTCTTCTAATTCTCTAATTAACTTTTGCAAAATGTAGATTTATTTCATGAGAGAAAAACCATTTATCATAATTATATTTAATATAAAATAATAGTATTAAAAAGAATAGAAACAGTAATTAATTTTTTTGAAGACATTAATAAATGTAGCCTATATTTTAGTTTTAAAATGTCTATTTGTATTTAAATCTTGTTATTTGAAATATCCAATCTATTTTTATTATAGTAAATAACTTATGATGAATGTGAAAATACATCATAAATCTCAATCCCCTTTCCGATCTTATTATTGTCAATTCCTTCATCTTATGATCTTTCACCACTTAAAAATTGGATAATTAAATATTATTAATTATATTTGGATGTTTATAGATACTAAACAGATATTTATAATAATAAATCCAAACTTTTTTACGATTTCTATTTCTATTTCTCCGTTATAAATGATTTTTTTTTTATACAAAAATTAATTTCTCCTCTCTAATATTTACTATCCTTTAGCCCTTCTTGTTGTGTGTCCTCCACCACTATATCATTAAATAATACATACAATACATCTTTTTATCATATTTAAAAATCTTTAAATCCCTTACTTCCCATAATATAAATATTCTATAAATTAATAAATCATCACTTACTTCTTAATCGAAATCATTTTCTTCTTATAATTCTAAATTATTTTTATTACCTTCAAAAAAGTATATCACTATTATTTTTATGAACTATAAAGCCTTCCAACATCATGTAATACTTCCTACTATTTTATTTACATTTTGCTTGTTTTTTTTTATTACTCTACTTTGTACTCCTTACCAATTTACATTTTTAATTTGTTCTAAATTGAATAGCACAAAATTATTATGACAGAAGTCTGTGAAGTTTTCTATTAAAGCTTTGAAATAAGAAATATTACTTCTGATAATACAACAATTAATATAATAGGTTTATTATCTAAAATTAAGACTCTTGGGATAAGTATTTTCCTAATTCAAAATTTGTAATCAATGTTTCATACTATTATGGCATATAATTTTCCAGCTTCTGAGATGAATTTATTTAAATTTTACTGATTCTTATATGGATTCTGATTATTAACTTTTCTTATTATTTTTTAATTATTTTTCATTAAATCCAAATTCAATTAAAAAAATAGAAGAAACCCTTCTTCTCACCTTATCCGATAAGGAGTCTTGGATCATACTAGTCTGAGATCCATAGTATCCACCTATCCATCTCAGGTCAATTTTTTTAGACCTTCAACACATCTTCCCTTGAGATACTAGTCTCAAAGGGGGGTTTAGAAGATTGTCCTTGCTACGAATCCTTTATTCTTACTCTCTTCCTTTTTTTCTTATTTCCCTGAATGTCATGGTCAACACTCGCCCCTGGTTACCATAGAACGTTATTTGGATGACCCTAATTATGACATCATCAGAAATAAAGTTAATTAAAATTTCACTTTATTCAATCTCAGAAAATTCCTATAATTTCGTGTGTCTCTTATTACCACTTTGTTTATTCCTGTAACAACTATTCATTCAGAAAAAAGAACGAACATATATTAAAAATCAAACATAATATTAATTATTCTTTAAGGACTTATAAATAGTATATTTAAGATCTAAGACAATAAATTAAGTATTATCTGATTCAGAAAAGTTAATAGTATAGCGATTTTCTGTAAGATTAGATCAGTAAATCTATAAAATAAAAACGACAGGTTCAATCTTCTAAAATATTAATAATTTTACTTTATTAAAATTTGATAATTTCCACAAATTCAAGATTCTCCTGTTAATATTAATATTTATATTTATTGACTTTTTCTATTATAATTTATTTTAATATCGGTTTAAAATATATTTAGAATTAAAATTATTAATATATACCCTAAATTGTGCCTTCTTTAAGCTATTTGTAATCATTGAAATATTTTAGAGTTCTTTTTATTAAACTGCCCTTAAAAATTAAGAGTTAAATCTTAGATTAATTGGCAAAATCATCATATTTAAATTATTAATAATGATTATATTTTAGATCTTATTCTAAATTTTTATTTTGTTCCAATCAGTATTTATTTTATAAATCTTCATAGCCTTCTAAATCCAAGCCTTAGTTCTTATAAAATTTGTAATAAGAAATATAGAAAAAATTTATTATGTTAATAATGATAGAATTAGAATGGAATTAAAGGATGATTATTTATATAAGATAGTATCAATAATTTAAATAACAATCATGAATAATTTATATCAAAAATAAGCACAAGAATAATAGGAAACAATATGCAAAATACATAATTTAGAATTAATTGCAGTTGACATGGACTTATCAGATAAAGCAAAAGTTCAATTCTTATGTAGTAAATGTCTAGTTGAGAAGATAAAAAACTATAAAGTGACTACAATAGAGTAATCAAAAGAGAGAATTTAATAAATAAAGAAATAATAAAAAGAAATTAGAACTAAAGAGAATCAAGCAAGACTCACATATTATAAAAATATATTAGATCAAATTATGAATTTTAAATAATTTATTGATGATTCTTTGGATAAGACATATAAATAAATATAATAGTATATATATCCAATTTAAAAAGAAAAATAAGAATTATAAGATTATGATTTATAATTAAATTACTTTGAAGATGTTTAATAATTGTCAGAATTATATACCTAAAATTAATAATAATCAATGAAATTATAAGAAGATAATAATTTTATTGATGAAATATCAAGACAATTCGAATTATTATTGAATTCTTCTGAATATTCTTAGACTTTAGAATTGTTTAAGAATACAAAAGAAACAATAAAAGATTTTAAAGAAAATAATGTAATTGAATTATTTCAATTCATTACCAATAAATAAAATGAATTTGTATTTTTATTTAATATTAATAGAGAACACCAAGCTTAAATAGAATTTGTAATAATCATAAAAAAGAAATAATTATGATTGATATGGATTCATAAAGTAAAAAAATTGAAGATAGATTAGTTTGTGTTGATTGTATTGCAGAAAACCCATTAATTAAATATTAAACTATTCAAAACGTAGATAACTAATGGAAAGAATATAATTCATTATCTGAAAATTGTTTAATTGAACTTTAAATGGAAAGTAAAATCAAAAAATCAGAATTATTAAAATAAATAGCATAAATGAGAAAGAATTATAATAAAAAATTGATTGAAATTAGTGATAAATTAACTGTAGAATAATATTTATGCAATGATTAGATCAAAGAATCTAATCGAATTAAGAGAACTTCTATTTAAGTATTGGATAATGAATAATTAATAAAAGATCTAAAATAATTGATTGAATATGAAAAGAAAAATGAAATAGTTCCATAAAACTAAATAATTAAAAATATAAAAAATAAAGATTCCATATTCAAAAAAGACTTAGAATATCATTTTGAATCATTAAAATAACTTTATAATTAAGATATTTAATAGTCACTAGATATTCTAAAGGAAATTTCAAGTATTTATTTATTTATATTTAATTAGAAGAAAGTAATCTAATAACTATGTTATCTGAAATGATTTAATAAATTGAAAAAAGTAAATAAAAAGATGATAATTATTAAAATTAAATTAATATTATTAAAGAAATATAAGAATTAGTTGATGATGCAAAAAGGTATTAATTCTAAGAAAATCAATTTGAGTAGACTAAAAAGCTTTATTAATCAATTAAATAAAAGATAGAATTGATTTAATAAAATATTAAATTAAAATCAAAAGAAAATTAAACAGAATCGTAATCTTAATTACTAAAATCTTAATATTCAAATATATAAAATATTTTAAATGAGTATTAAACTATTTTTGAAAATAATAGTATTTAAATGAAAAAATATTGTAATATTAAATAAATGGAGGATGATTTAATCAAATTAACAGAAAATAATAATAAATTAGAGATTGAAAGTAATATTCTATAAATAATAAATAGAAAATAATTTTATTAATTCTATTTAAAAGTCATTGGAGCAAAAACTCAATGAGATCAATAGTAAATTAGAAATTAAAGATAAAGAATACAAAGATATAAAAGTATAATATGATTCAGCAATTAAAGATAATATAAATCTGAAAAATTAATATGAATAGGAGAAGATGACAACGATGAAGAAATTCTAAGATGAATGTATTAAATTTTCATATTATACAATAGAAAACAAATTTATGTAGGAATTAAATCAAAATTTAAATTTAAAAAATTAAGAATTACAAGAAGCAAAAACGAAACTTGATTAAATTAATAAAGATAAGTTAGAATAAGAAAAATTATATGAAATGGAATTAAAAAAAGTAAAAAATATAATCAATTGATAATTTTTAGATTCAATTGTATTAGAAATCATTATCATTTTCAAATGCTTATAAAAATGGAAACTGTTAAGTTACTGAAGGTGGAAAAGTTGTGGCGGATGTTGGTAATAGCAGTTGGAGTTATTGTCTTTGTGAATAAGCAATACCAAAGACAGGAAAAATATAGTTTGCTTTTTAAATACTTAATGGATCAGCTTTTATGGTTGGAATAGGATTTAGAGAGATTATGTAAAAACATAATTATTATTAGTGCTATCAACCTGGTTATGGGTATATTATCATATTATAATAGAACATATTTAATAGAAAATAATTGTACTATTTTTTCTCATCATAACAAAGATTTATTTCTTAAAAAATTCTCATTTTAATTTACAAATAATGAGATAATAATAATCGAAGTATGTATTGAAAATAAATACATTAAATGGAGTAGATATAATAATCCATAATTAATATTTGTTGTAAATGTTTAATCAATTATTAGTAGTTAGATATAGATACATCATAAGAACTATATCCATGTGTGGGTGTGAGTGGTTAATCTAAAATACAATTATTAGAAAATGTACCATTTTGATACTAGGAATTAATATTAATTTTACTTACAAATTAATTTTTTTCAATTAATTTGTAATAAACATAGAAAAACATTTATTAAAATTAAAGTTATATTCTATCATAATTATTAACTTTAAAATAATAGCTTATTTGTAAGACAATATTTAAATAACTTGGTTCTAGATTAAAGGCGCAGTTAAATTGTTAAGAAATCTTATGACACCATTTAACAGAAATTAGGTTAATAAGGCAACCAAAAATTTTAACTCTCCTCTACTATTTTCTGTGATAATTTATGATGTTATTTTTCTTTAGATATAGCCCATTAAAATTAAAATTCAACAGCATATCATGAATTCTGTCATTACTGACTGCATTTCTTTCATATTACTAAAAACTAAATTACTCCAAGTTTAATATTTGAAACTATGGAACACAGATTCTTTAGTAGTATATTCTATCCATCTTATTTTACAACTTTGATCATTTCAATGCCTGAGGAAATTTCTGTTATCAATCGTATATCAATATGATAAGAATTATTATTAAATAATCTCAATTATAAATCTAACTTAATAATTAATAAATATCAGTTACAGATATTATTTGAGAATATTAATATATTAAATAAATTTTATCTCAAGATGAAAATCTTTATTTAAAACTACATTTGATTAGAATTATTTATTACTGGGATTATATGATATTTCATTAATATTTTCTAAGTTTATTAATGTACTTTAAAAATAACCGTTCAACAATATTAGGTAATGTATCAGAAAATAATTTTTTTTATGATAGACTATATTTCCAAGAAAGCTTACATTATTTAAATACTATGCCAGTAGTATTAGAAATTACAAAGATTATTACAAGACCTTTAGAGATTAGAACAAGATAATTTTATCTTGTTCCTCAAATAGTAATAAATATTAGTTTATCGATAAATAAATAAGGATTTGCAATTACTTGAATTAACAAATTTTTCTAATGGTAACAAGTAGTGTTAAAAATCTGAATCAAAAATGAATTTAAGTCTTAATAATTTAATCGATTAAAAGACAATTGACAATAAAAATCATCTCCAAAGATATATTCCTCAGCAAGGTCTGTTTCTGTTCCTTCCTATTCTTCAAAAGTTACAAGCCCATTCTTATGCCTTCTTAATTGCTCACTTACTCCTTCTATTTTTCCATCAATAGATGTGGATGGAGAAATTTGTGGGGAAATTGTGCGACTAAATTACACTTCTTATGATATCACCAGATTTTTCTGAGATTTATGTAAGAAATTGAGAAAGTTATTCAAGTGTTTCGATTTGTAAATATATATATAACAAAAATGTAAATGGTGGGAATGTAACTTATAATATTTAAATTTATATTAATAAGAGAACTAATCTTAAGAAATATTATTGTTTATAATCGAATAGAAAATTTTTAAGCATTCATATTACAGATTAAATTTTTAATTTCAAAGTAAGAAAGTAAGTTAGTTAAAATCTTGGTGTTTTCAATCTCCTAAACTCTAAATAAATAAGATTTTTCTAAAATTTTTGTTTAGAGATATTATATTTACTTTCTATCATTAATCCTACTTGAGAAAAGATGAAGGAAAATAAAATAAACTTTAGTAATTTTGTTATTCGTTGATAAACTCATGAAATGAGTTAAGTTCTTTAATTGTCAAATTAAAATCTTATCAGGATTAAGAAAAGAACAAGCAAGACAATATTATTCATAAATATGCTCTATTTCTGTAGAGAATTTTGTTGATGAAAAATAATTAATTGAGGATTGGTAACCCAAATTTTAAATCTACCAAATCTGGTACAGAGAAGTCAAAGAATTGCATTATTAAGAAGATAGTTTTGATTGGAAAGTCATTAAGGAATATTCTTGCTATAAAGTAGATTGTATCAGAAAAATTGTTGTCTTGATTTTTTGCAATTCAAAAAGTGAATTGGCTTCATTGAGGCTACATAAGGCAAAATAGCATTTAATGATTTTTAAAATAATGAAAAATCTAAAAATATTGAAAATTGATTAATAATAATAATCTCAAGTAAATTCAGTATTGATCAAATAAATTATAGATTTATAGAAAATAAATATTTAAGACAAAAATAATTGATGGAGTGATATGGAAGTTACAATTAGCTAAAAGATTGGTTTATGTTCATGATACTGGATTATTTCCCAGTTTAAGTTCTAGATTATTTTTACCTAATTCTTACTCTACTTTTAAGAGATTCATTCAATTCCTGAGGTGGAATGAGAACATCGTATTATGATTATATGAGTGCAGAGAGAAAAAATGAAATAGATGAAAGAAACCTAAGTGGAGTTAATAATTAGTGAAGTATGTTGGAAAAGATCTTGAAAATAAAAAAGTACATCCTAGATTTTTAGAAGATTTTAAAATTAAATACTTACATTTACTTTCAAAATAATGAAAAAAGATAATATAACAAGCAAGAAGCAAGTGTAGTTTTGATAGAAGAAGAGGAAGGCTAAACTTCTAAAAACCAGAATTTAATTAGAGTTGAGTATGATTCTAATTTTTTCACCAGACTTTATGTAACATATCTATTTAAGTATCAGTGAAAAAACTTACTCAGTATTTTAGAATCGATTGATTGATATATCCTGTCAATGAACGAAATATGAAAGATTAATCACATTATGCATAGTTTCGTAATTTGTAGTTCATCGATCATATATTTTGTTAACTTCATATTTATTTTTGTAT